GAAGAACACAGGAGAAATGCACAGACTGAGCATGAGAGAAAACAACCAGAAAAAGAATGGCAGAATTGTTCGGTGCCTGCATCTGTAGATTAGGAACAGATTATATCAGAGTAAAATCTTGAGATGTGGAAGGGTGAAGGGGGAAACAAACCCCCAAACCAGACATGATGCAAGAAACCAGGCTATTTAGCTCATGTATTATGTTAGCACATACTGTATCTCAGGAGATGAGGTGGACTAAATAAGCTAAATAAAAAGCGTAAAATAGAAAAGTAACTATAAAAACCCAACCAGAACATAAAAGCAATGATCTTTTAATGCTAGTCTGTTTTCTGTCAAATATCATCCAATGTTCATGCATTATAACTTACAGAAGAATGCCAACAAGAACAGGCATTGTGAACAATAATTTTAAGATTTCTCTTCATATTAAGTACGCCTCATTAAGTTAACTTGCATTATTCTGTCATCCCTGTAGCAGCTGAAACAAATGATTTCATGGAAATATAACAATAAAGCTGGTTTGCAATGCATGTATTATTGTACAATCTTTTATTGCCCATTCACATTCAGATTTTTCTTGGCGGATCCTCTACTCTATTTGAACTACTGTATGCTTCTTCTTGACAAAGAACTACTTGTTTCCTCTTATTTTTTCCTCTCTGTACTTTTGTAGTATGTGGATGTTTTGTAAGCATTGTGAGGGCATATGACTAATTCTAGCAGATGATGACATGAAGGTCACAGTGGCTGTATTTTAAACTCTGTAGTCACTTTGGATACTCCTCTTGAAAAACAAAACAAAGCCAAACCAGATCTGTCTTTTAATGAATATTTAACATTCTGTTCCCTTATATTGGTATTATATGATAGAGGTTGATATTCAAGGATCACCTACTGCAAGCTCAGGAGTGTTGCATCCCACCTAGAAGGAAGTGCAGCAGGAGGGCCAGGAGACCTCCTTGGATGGATAAGGAGCTGCTGAGGAAAATTCAAATGAAAAAAGAGGCTTATAATAAGTGGAAGCAAGGACAGGTGGCATGGGAAGAATACAGGGATGTTGTCTGGGAAGCTAGGGACCAGGTTAGGAAAGCTGAGGCCCAGTTAGAATTAAACTTGGCTAGGGATGTGAAAGATAACAGGAAGGGATTCTACAGGTATGTAGCTAATAAAAGAAAGAGAGACAATGTAGGCCCCCTCAGGAAGCTCTCAGGAGAACTGGCTACACAGGCTTTGGAGAAGGTTGAGGTTCTTAGTGACTTCTTTGCCTCGGTCTTCACTGGCAAAGGCTCTGACTGCGCTACCCAAGTCTTGGAAGGCAGATGCAGGGACTGTGAGAATGAAGACCTTGGGCCCACTGTAGGAGAGGATCTGGTTTGAGACCATCTTATGAACCTGAATGTGCACAAGTCCATGGGACCTGATGAGATCCATCCACGGGTCCTGAAGAAGCTGGCAAATGAAGTTGCGAAGCCACTGGCCATCATATTTGAAAAATCATGGCAGTCAGGTGAAGTTCCCGATGACTGGAAAAAGGGAAATATAACCCCCATTTTCGAGAAGGGGGAAATGGATGACCCAGGGAGCTACAGACCAGTCAGTCTCACCTCTGTGCCTGGCAAAATCTTGGAGCAGATTCTCCAGGAAGGCATGCTAAGGCACATGAAAAACAATAAGGTGCTTGGTGACAGCCAGCATGGCTTCACTAAGGGGAAATCCTGCCTGACCCATTTGATGGCCTTCTATGATGGGGCTATGGAACTGATGGACAGGGGTAGAGCAGTTGATGTCATCTACCTGGACTTGTGCAAAGTGTTCGACACTGTCCCACAAGACATCCTTGTCTCTAAATTGGAGAGACATCAATTTGATGGATGGACCACTCGGTGGATAAAGAACTGGCTGGATGGCCGCACACAGAGAGTTGTCAATGGCTCAATGTCCGGCTGGAGACCAGCAATGAGTGGTGTCCCTCAGGGATCGGTGTTGGGACCGGTCTTGTTCAACATCTTCATCGCTGACATGGACAGTGGGATTGAGTGCACCCTCAGCAAGTTTGCTGATGACACCAAGCTGTGTGGTTTGGCTGGTACCCTGGAGGGAAGGAATGCCATCCAGAGGGACCTGGACATGCTTGTGAGGTGGGCTGATGCCAACCTCATGAAGTTTAACCATGCCAAGTGCAAGGTCCTACACCTGGGTCGGAGCAATCCCAGGCACAGCTACAGGTTGGGCAGAGAAGAGATTCAGAGCAGCCCTGTGCAGAAGGACTTGGGGGTGCTGGTCAATGAGAAAATGAACATGAGCCGGCTTCAGTGTGCGCTTGCAGCCCAGAAAGCCAACCGTATCTTGGGCTGCAGCAGCAGAAGCATGACCAGCAGGTCGAAGGAGGTGATCCTGCCCCTCTACTCTGCTCTCATGAGACCTCACCTGGAGTATTGTGTGCAGTTCTGGTGTCCTCAACATAAAAAGCACATGGAACTATTGGAACAAGTCCAGAGGAGGGCCACGAGGATGATCAGGGGACTGGAGCACCTCCCGTATGAAGACAGGCTGAGAAAGTTGGGGCTGTTCAGCCTGGAGAAGAGAAGGCTGCGTGGAGACCTCATAGCAGCCTTCCAGTATCTGAAGGGGGGCTATAGGGATGCTGGGGAGGGAGTGTTCATTAGGGACTTTAGTGACAGGACAAGGGGTAGTGGGTTCATACCTAAACAGGGGAAATTTAGATTGGATATAAAGAAGAATTTCTTTCCTGTTAGGGTGGTGAGGCACTGGAATGGGTTGCCCAGGGAGGTTGTGAATGCTCCATCCCTGGCAGTGTTCAAGGTGGGGTTGGACAAAGCCTTGGGTGACATGGTTTAGTGTGAGGTGTCCCTGCCCATGGCAGGGGGGTTGGAACTTGATGATCTTAAGGTCCTTTCCAACCCAAACCATTCTATGTTTCTATGATACTATACATGGCTACAACAGTGACTGATTTGAGCATGTGACATTTTTAACCCTGGAGCTTTTATATGTACTGCAAAACAGTTATGTCTTCAAAGCCAAGTTGTGTGGATGAACAGCATTAAGACATGCAGTTCCACCTGGTGTTCTTAAAGCTATTTTCTCACACAGTGAGAATGTTAAGATTCTGAACTTCTTGATCCAGTGCTGTTTCCAGAGAGATTTTGCCTGATAGCATATATGAGACTTGTAATATTTGGCCTATTTCATTTGCCTCTGTCCAGTTTTCGTAGCTTTGTTCTCTGTGCAAACCTATTAGTGTATGTCATTGCCTCTGCTTTTTTCCTAAACTACTTGCTCACTCTTGCTACTTTTATTATATCCATACCCCGCATATATTCTTGTAATTTTATTCTGGTATACCAGATGCACAGCTTTTTAGCTCTCTCACTTTACTGAAAAATGAGAAGAAATGGGTGATTGTAATGAGCCAGCGTTTTATATTATCGTGCATTTTTCCATAGCCCATATGAAGTCCTTTCAGGGCAAAACAACACTCAGTTTCTTCAACAGTGAGTGATGGAGAATCCTCACTGAAGGATGACCTGGAATAGTGACCATGCCCCAAGCTAGAACAGTCATATCTACGTTTGTGCCACTGAGTATTCAGAGAACACAGCTCCTAAATTTCAACTTTTGTTTTCTGAACAGTGGTGAAATGTGATTTTTTGAAAAACTGAAGTATTTCATTAAATCTGAGAGAGTTTCCAGAGGGTTGGGTTAGAAATGTTAGAATATTAACATCCACTGTGTTGAAGTCTTGAGTAGTTACAGTGTGACTCTGCTCCCAGGACAGCTGGATATACCTGGCAGGAGCAGGTGGCTTGGTCAGTCCAGTTCTGTAACTGTGGAAGCAGTGCTGCCACAGTGATAGCTTAAGGCTGATGTTGCCAGATGATGCAGGGTCCAAGCTGTAAACCCAGCCCTGTGTAGCCCTGGCTCTCATAGAATGGGGGGATCCTTGGTGAGTTTTTGTCATGTTAAACCCATGCCCTGTTTGTGGGATTTCCTTTTCCCTCATGCCTGAGGTGTATAATGTTTGTTGCATGGCTCTGAACTACCTGAAGATTTAAGGCTACTGCTCAAGAGGATAGAAAAGTTGGCCAGCCAAGGGCTGAGCCAGCTGCTAAAATTGACTGAAAGGGTTTTATGACTGAGCAGACAGTGGGTGACTTTCCTATGGGTTTTGGAATAGAGCTGAATTGGTTCAGCTACAGCTTTCAGAGAATGTGGAAAATCTTAACTAGAAGTATTCTCTTTAGCAAACAGAAAACCAATGATCATGAAGCTTGCCATCCAGGAATTAAGGAACAATGACAAACTTTTCTAAAATGGTTGTGGCTTCTATCACTGTTATTATTCATGACCAAAATAGCTGTACTATTTTTTTCATCGTTTAGACTCCCTAACATGGTAGTTGATTTATTGCAGGCATTTAGCTGTGCATTGTTTTGCTGCACAGACTGCTTTGTGCTGCTCAAAAATGCTGCAGAAAAAGGTGATGCTTGATACTGTTCAATAGTACAGTGCCTTCTTGATTGGACTGTGATGAAATGTAATAATTCTAATGTGTCAAGCTTTTCTGGAAAATGTGGGAAATAAAGGAGCTTTTTTACCTCCTGGGATTTATGATGTTTAATGAAGTTATTGTCATTCTGTAAAATGAAGTCGGAGAGAAGTATTATCATACATGCTGGAAATGCTTTCTGGTTTAATAGATCAAATGATGAAATAGTGTTTTGCTTTACACACTGACAAGCTCTTGAGCTCGTACAGCATGTTTATTGTTCTTTTCTACCTGCTCTATGTGATGTTGTAATGCAGAGTGATTACTGAGGTTCTTATCTGGTAGATTATCCTGTTAACCTGGCACTCCAGCAAATTGTCATGTTCTAGCAAAAAGGCAGGACATTATGCAAAAGAGCACTTCAGCACACAGATCTTTTCAGCACACAAGTACATTGTGGTTTTCATGTTATTTTACTCTTTTGTAGGATTGCGTTGATGTGGGATGGTGGGAAGGAGAACTAAATGGCAGACGAGGTGTGTTTCCAGATAACTTTGTCAAGCTTCTTCCTTCTGATTTTGAAAAAGAGGTAAGCAATGTATTCTTCCATTTTCACTTTAGAGTACAGAATAAAAGTGGAGATAAAGAAATTCTCTTTTGGGTATGTGATTTTCACAAAGTTTTAGTAACAAAATATTGTTAAAGAAAATGAAATTCTGGGTTAGAAAGCATCCATGAAGAGAGCATGGGGCAGTCAAAATCATATTATGGAGTTTCTTTGAAGGGTTTGATTGGCCCATCCAGTCAGTCAGCCTCCACTCTGTTGCTCTGAAAAGCCCTCTTTCCTGCATCCTAAGTATGAAAGAGAGAGAAACTGGAGGTCCCAGAAAAATTTGCTGAGTCAGGTGAGCAGTGGTGGCCAGAACTGTTAACTCTTCTCCATTGTTTCTGTGATGGAATATAAAGTTAACATACCACCTGTATGATTGACAACAGTCAAACGCTTTTCCAGAATGAGAAGAGGAAAATTTTAACTGTGAGATTTGAAAACCAACAGTGAGCTTTTGGTATCTCAGAGGCATGTTTCCTTATCTCTCTCAGAATTATTAAAAAAGAAGGTATAAAATCTATGCAGAAGCTATTTCAGCTTCTGTTTATTTGAAAAAGATGGCGTTATTATTTGCCAAACAATATTTAGAAATCCTGCAGCTTCCTGAAATAAAGTAATGGATTACTTCCCCCAAAAGTCCATTCCATTTCTAGGAACCTTGTCAGTCATCAGTGCAATATTACAAACTTGCAATCAGGCTTTTGATGAGTATTTCACAAGGACAGTGTAAGCCTTCTGTGATAAAACAGAGACTTACTGACACTCAACTTCAATCTCTGGCAATAAAATTGGATGCCAGAGGCAAAAATTAAATCACTTGGAAAGCTTAATAAAGCAACTATTAAACAACTCACAGAAGCTAACATGAGAATTATTGAAAATGAAGGTAGAGGAGCAGCAAAAACTGGGGGAGATGAAAATGCAGTTCCATAGCAGAGTGGATATCCTGGCTTTAGGCCTAATAATAAAAGAAGGTGATTTCCAGAAGAGGCAGAAATCTTAAACTGTAAAACATAGGGAGTTTATTATAGAAGAAAAAAAAAAAATCTTTTATGCAATTTTTCGTGATGAAATTTATTCAGTCTTTTTGAACTTATAAACTCTGTATCTTGTAGTGTTTTTTTAGAGTACTGTGACTGTGACTTGTAGAATAAATTAAATGTTCAGACACTTAGAAATTGAAGCTAGGTTTGCTGTAAATGTGGAGAATAAAGCTTTATTTATTTTTTTAATGGCACAGATCTGGCCACATGAGTAAAGAACTGGTAGGACTATAGATTATCTGCTTGAATCAGTGCTAAAAGGGAAAGAAATGGATACTTTTTCAGTGGCTTTGTCAGGTATTTTCTGATGTGATCCAGAAACCTTGGATTTCATCCGATGGCATGAAAGTATTTGTTGCCGTAGCTCTTCTGTTTGTTGAACAAAAGCTTGATATTTTTTCCCATCTCATTATTCAGTCCCCAGTTTGCCAATCCTGATTTTTTTTCCACACATGGGTATTTGTCCGAGTCCTTTTCTATTCATTGCTTAGTCCCAGTCTCCACCTCTTAGGTGGTCTCAATTACAGAATTTCCCCCTGAGCTCACTATCTGAGTCTGAATCACCATCTGGATTTACTTTCTATCCCTACACCAAATTTCTTTATCCAGCTTCTTTTCCTCTCCCCTTTCACTCTTTGTCTCTTCTCCGTAGTTTTGCTCTCTTTTTGTCCAACAAGTCCTGGTTTCCTTTCTGTTGGCTTCATTTCTAGTCTGTCTCTGTCACCTTCTCAGTTATCTCGTCCAGCCACAGACCCTTGTAATTCTTCCTTGCTTCTCCATGTTTCCCTCAGCAGTATTAAGGCTTTTTCATGCTACCTCCATTCTGATCTTTTTGAAACAATGTATTTCCCCAGTCAGCTTCCAGTTAAAGCCACTTTGTCTAATGAACCATAGGATGCTTTCTCCTTTGTGTACAAGGTACATTAATGTTTTACTTTTAATCAGGAGTGGAATTTGTAAGTGAATCTCTCACTTGTTCATCTGCAGTTTATTTTTTTTCACCATGTATTTCTAAATACATTTGCCAGATTTGAAAGAGATCGCTGGGAAGGGTGAGCAGCAAGGGCTCAGCCTTCACAGCAAACTCACTCCTTGTTAGTCTTCAGACCAAAACTTTGAAGTCCTAGAGCATAGGCTGAACTAATTATTGCAAGCGAGCAAAACAGCTGATCTTGAAAGTATGCAATCCTTTTGGCAGATATATAGAAAATAATAGGGAGGGATTTGATATCAACATGGGTTTGATAGAAAATATGAACCTAAATGGTCAAAGCCATGTGTATGTGGAAACTCATCTTGCAGGTAGGTCCACAAGTCTATATACAGTACTGCATACCCAGCAAGGTTGATTGCTGTGATAACAGCAATTGTGATCTATCTGTAGCAAAAGAAATAATGTCCTTCTATAGAAAAAAATGATAGACATATGAAGAAAACAATTGTAAATTTTTACTTTACCATTATTCTCTTTAATTATGATACTTCATGGCTTTTTGACAGTGAGAATTAAGGTATGTAATTTGATTTTGAATTCATTCCAAGATGTATATGGTAAATGCCAGTATGGTGTGTATGCATACACACACATCAACACAGAAGAAAAGCCACTCTTTCCCTAGCCTAGACATGAAGAGGAATGGTTCCAGTGCTAATTTGGTTGTCATGTTTCTCAGCCACACCGTTACAGATCTATTAGGAAAATTGTCATAATAAAGAAGATAAAAGTAAAAAGTACAGACTAGTTGGAATAATTTATTTCATTTCAACAGACATCTAAAACTCTGATAACTGTCTTTCACAACTGGAGCTGTAGATTTCTCATAGTGAATGAATAAAATACAACCTTTGCAGTATTTCCTGTGTTCTGCACTTTTGCTCCATTTATGCATCTGAAAAAACAGGCTTCAGATTTTGCCATGCCTATCTGTTTTTCTTGTGTTTGGTGGGTTTTTTTTCCAAAATGGGTTGGAATATTTACAAGACTAAAATTTAAATGACTAGGTTTCTTAGGTAAATCAAGGATCATGTACTTCTGTCACCTTAAGGCACATGAACTGGACTTCTTTTTTTTTTCATTTTTTACCCCTCTCAGCAGAACATTTCAGTTGCAAAGGTAAAAAAATGAAATTTCATTTGTCAATGATATTTTCTCTCTTCAAATTTGTTTTAATGAAGTTATTTCAGGGAAATTTTTGACAGATCTGTAGTGTCAAGATTTGTAGTTATTAATGGTAAGCAATGTATTATTGCTATTAATGTAAACCTTTGTATGAATGAGGTTTACAGGCATTTTAAAACAGTCTGTTTTCTTCTGTTATTAAATTTTAGAGACCGAAGAAACCACCACCTCCAGCAGCTCCTATCATCAAACAAGGATCAGGTAAGGTGTAGCTGATGCTGTACAGCATATGTCAGCGAGCACATCTCAATCTAAATAAAGAGTACTCAAATTTTTATAGAATTTATCTGTATCAAAATTGATAAGCAGGAGGTGCCTAGAAAACAACTAATAACTAAGAATCAAGTTGCAAAAAGGTGATAACCCTGAAAGGCTGGTGCGCTTTTTAAGTATATTGCAGGCAACCATCTTCACCTCTTTTAAATGCCATATTTTACCCCTTGAACATGTTAAGTCAGGGCAAGCACTGATACTTCAGTTTTTACAAGTTCTCCAGTTCTGTTCCTTGACTGAAGTTGATTGTATGCATGTCTTTGCAGTATACACCCAGTATGCTGGAGTCTGAGCATACCTGCAAGAGGAAACTGCATTCCCTTTACATCTCCAGATCTGGTTCATTCTAGAGATAAAGAGCTTTTTAGCATGTCCATAAGATAGTTCCAGAGAACTTGGCTGTAATACAGTGTCCTCATCTGAGTTGCAGTCAAAGAGTTGCAGATCTGGATGAATGCTGGAGCTTTCTGTCTGTCTCCAGGTTCTGTGCCATATCTAGATTCTTAATTTTCAGTATTTCATAGCTGTAAGAATAAAACTTAAAGGAGTTATCCTGAACCTGTTCATGTAGATAATGGTTTTGCAAATGTATTAAGGGGCTGATGATTTTGCAGATGAGTACTAGCGAAGCTGGCTTTGGAATATGTTAGACTAAATTGTGTATGAATACTGAGAGCTGAAACCACTTGTATTGGTAGTTTTAAAATGACCTCTCAATACAAATTTTCAAAAGTGCCTGCGTGATTTCCTTTTTCCATGAAACTCAGAAACAGTTAAAATACCTCCATGCTTGGCAGTTCTGACCTCAGAAACCAAATTCCAGTTCTGTTCAGCAAAAGGCAGGGGATGCTGTCAGTTTTCATTTGTAATGCAGTTTGGTGGAAACATAAGTATGGCTGGAATTCTTTAATCCCTTAACTCCGATCCATTTGTTAAAATTCTGCAACAGCACTACCACTTCCCCCAGTGTTGGCACACATTAGAAAAGCGAAATGAACTCATTCAATCTATCCAGATAATTTTACTTGTCACTATGGTCTGTTCCAGGTTTCAGTGCTTTAAAATGTAAATTTCCCTCTCCTGCAGTCTTGATCTATTAATAGAAGAAAAAGTTACACCCGTGTACAATCTATTGTGAATCAATAGGCTATAATTTAGATAGTTTTAATTTGTCAAGCAGTCTCCAACTACAGAATCATGACTTTAAATATTTAGTTTACTTATTGACACCCATGGTTTATTCTTCACTCTGTCTTGAGACTCATAGAAACATGAATTTGATTTTAAGATCAGTAACAGTGTCCAGAGAGAGCAGTATAACTTTGCCATCTAGTGGCGCCTGCTTATTAAATATGTCTTAGTGACAACTTTAGAAAAGCTCTATAAAACATTGTATTTCTTTCAATTTATATGCCTATAATTAGAGAATACTACTTTTAATATTTTTGTGCCTGTTAGCATGCAATGCATTAGTTGTGTCACCATAGGAAGATAATATGCCTGTTTTCAGAAAGAAAAATGGATGCATAAAGGATGCAGACAATTCAGTCAAGGCCATATAAGTCTATGGCAAAGCCAAGGCTATTGCTATGCTTTGTTTCCATACTCAGTCTTTGACAAGTCTTGGCTGGTTATTGTAGAATCACAGAATGATTAGGGTTGGAAAGGACCTTAAGATCGTGCAGTTCTAACCCGCCTGCCATGGACAGGAATGTGTCACGCCTAGACCATGCCACCCAAGGCTCTGTCCTACCTGGCCTTGAACGCTGCCAGGAATGGAGCGTTCACCACTTCTTTCGCAACCTGTTCCAGTGCCTCACCACCCTCACAGTAAAGAACTTCTTCCTTATATCTAACCTGAACTTGCCCTGTTTAAGTTTAAACTCTGTTTTTTTACAAGGGTATCCTTGTTATGCACAGGAGTTTTTTCTGATAGATATGTAAAGGTGAAAACTATGTGTTTATTATGGACTGTTATTACTATCCTGGCATCATCTACCTTGTCAAATTATCACTTTACTGAGATAATACTGTATTTTACCACATCCCCACATCAAGCCTTACTGTTAATGACAGGTAACAACATCCAGTGATGTTTCTGTATATTTAATCGGTCATAGTGATGAATAAATTGATAACTGTCAGTTGAAGCCCAAATAATTAAATATCAGTATCTTCTGATGCAGAGCATAAAATCAGAGCAGGGAATTAGAGCTGGTCTTTGTAGTATAAGCAGCACATATGTGAAGGAGGTGTCTGGTTTGTATTATAGTATAGCTGAAAGTTTGGCTGTATTTCCAGATCTGCATAGCAGTAGACTTCCAGGGCCATCTGTGCTGGGCTACTATACAAAGTAATATGAAAACTGGAGAGCCAAAGTTAGGTGCACAAGTCCCTTTGGAAAGCATTAGGCATTTCACCGAGTACCTGGGATAAGCAATACACCTGCATCTAGTCTGGAGGGTAAGAATACTCTTCCAAGTCCCTCTGGGAGCTTGTACAGTGTTCACCAGAGCTTCCTTGCAGGTGACTTTCTTATGGCAGCTAAGGCAGGATCATGGTGCCTGCCTAGGTTCTTATTAATTTGGGGGTGACAACACAGGCAGGGAGTAGACTTGTGCCTGGGAGCTCACCAGTATTTGTAGGCTCACTGGTTTAGACATGTCCTAAAAATATCCCTCTGTGTGTTAATGATGACTATTAATCTTACTGTAATTAGGTATACGGACTTGTGTCTCTTTTTCTTGAACATGCTAGTATGTGCAAGACTATCAATATGTTGACTTGTGCTTTGCGTAACTTGTGTTTAGAAAGTCTTTAATTTGTTTCTAGCAACACTTCAGGAGTGAAGTATTTTAATAGAACCATTTAAGTTGAAAAGACCCTTAAGATCATACAATCCAACCATAAAATGGGAATTTGGTATTATTTATTGCCATGATAAGTGATGCAAATGCTGCCTGTCCAAAAGCACAGTTATGTAAAGAAACAAGGGCCAACGATGAGTAGTGATTTCTGGGAACCAGGTGCAGAAGAGAGTTGTGACAGAACATTCAAAAAATGTAAATGTATTTTAGAAGTGCATATAATAGAACAGATTGAAGAAAAAAATTGCATGTGTTCCCTGCCCTGCCTCCTCACTTTTCTTGGATATCATCTACTGTAATTTTTACTGGAATACTGATAGTCCTAGCTAAAGCAGTTTTCAACACTACTAAGTTGAAATGGTATTAGCACCTAGTATTTAGCCAGTGCAGTGAAGCCAATATCCAGTAAAGCATTTCTTGTAATACAAGGACTGGAAGATTGCATCTTGCCTGTGCCAGGAAATTTTTGTGAAATCTTCCCATTGTTGGTGCCACAAGTTCCCGTATTCCTACCAGCAACAGAAGTCAGTATGTCAGGGTCGTCAGTACAGACGCAGAAGGCAACAGAGGCTTACACCTCCAGGCTATAAACTGTCAATTAAAACAGTCGTGCAGAATACTGTCAGTACTACTGTTCTCATCCTTCTAACATGTTGAAGTGAACAGCTAGTACTAGAGTTGAAAAAGAGAAGGGTACTCAATGTAAAATAAGCCCTGTGTTGGTCTGTATTAAGTATTCTTTTAGCAGAAATGCCCAGTTAATTTATTCTAATCAATTGGTCCTAATTATTCTCCACACTGTTGAATTGTTCAATTAAGTATGTCTACAATGGTAAAGAATCTTTTCACACTCTAAAAATCTGTAGTTATTGAATTATTTTTAATTTTTATTATTTTTATTTTTATGGGATGGTCAGAAAGTACCTGTTCTTTTGAGATACACATTTTGGAAACTGTGAACCTGATCTGGGAGAACATAAATATGTAGTTGCTTTTTTGTCATGTTGATGTAAGCAAATACTTGAATCTAGATTTATGTTCAGTTTTAGCAAGACATTTTCAAATCGGAGCATGCAAAAAGCCTAAGAAATTGCTCAATTAAATGGTATGTGACCATATATGCTGGTTTGTTGACTTCTTCAGAATTCCAAATTTTCCTTTCTTTGACAGGTACTACAGATCGAAAGCATGAAATCAAAAAGGTGCCTCCTGAAAGGCCAGAATGTCTTCCTAATCGAACAGAAGAAAGAGGTATGAAATGTGCTTTCCTGCCTGCTCTCTGCAGAGAGACAGGGAAATGGAACTGATGCACATCCTCATTTCTCAGTTTCTGTTTTCATTAAGTGCATTGTTTGATGTTTATTTCCCACTCTGATAGATCTTTGATGTTGCACATTTTAGAAAGGATCTCATTGTTGCCTTAGAACTGAATTCAGGGTATTCAGTTGTACAATCCAGAGCTGGTAAGCGCTTGCAGCCTCAGCTGAAGTCAAGGGGAAATACGCTCTCAACGCATAAAATGCTGTCTAAAGCTCTGTGCTCAGTAAAACACAGGCCCTTCATCAAGTAAAATACCCCAGATTAGTGTCTACTTTTTTCTGAACATCTATACGCTTTGGTTCTCTAGTTGAAAGCTGGGTTGGTGGTTTTCCTGCATCACAGAGGGGTTTTGTGAAGATCTAGTCATCAATGCTTATGAATCATGCCATTAGCATAGTCACAAAAGTCATAGGCAAGTCTGTGAAGAAATGAAAAAATTCTGTCTTCAAAGCCAGGTTTAAACATTGCGAGGAATGGGACACTGTACCACACAGAGCAGTGACAAGCAAATTAAACCTTTAATGGTTTCATGGTATTCATTGTGCATTCTGAATAGTTTGGGGATAATAGTTACACTGATTGTCTAATGGTGTCAAGTTTCATATGTTTAAGCAGATTCTTACATTATATAGACAAGTTTGTTTATGGGATTTCTTAACTTTTAAGTATTCAACCTTGCAGTCTTGTAAAAGGCACAGGTGTGCACATGTCTAAATGCATTAGATGCGGTTACAATTCAGTGCCAGAACATTCAGACTTTGCCCGAAGATCTGTTTCTGGATATATGTCTCAGTGATCTGACAGGTGTTTTAGCAGTTTCATCTACATATGTTTATTTCTGGTTATGTGTGCTACTTCTTGTGATTATCTTAGCAATAAAACCCTTTGCTTTCCATTTTGGATTTAAAAAAAAAGCTGTCAAAATGGTGGAGGAAGTATAAACATGATACTGTCCAAGGGTATAAATACAGGTAGCTTTTCTGAATGTTGAAAAGAGGTTGTAGGAGTCATGTGTACATTTCTGGAGTACCAGGAAGTGGCAGGTATTGCTCAGTGAGGTGTGGCAGTAAGGGTGGCTCAGGAATGTTCTTTATGCTGTGTGTTGGTACACTGCCTAGGCCATCCCTCACACATAGTTCGGGAGGTCTTGGGTGATATGGTTTAGTGTGAGGTGTCCCTGCCCATGGCAGGGGGGTTGGAACTAGATGATCTTAAGGTCCTTTCCAACCCTAACTATTCTATGATTCTATGATTCTTGGACACTGGTGCGGTGTAAATCGCCACAGGAGTAAGTGTGTAAAAGTTACACAATACACTGGAAAAGCTTCAGTGTTACAGAGGACCCAACAAATTGCATCAACTGAAAGTGTACTGAAAGAGGGTGTATGCTTGTGAACAGTCACTTACTGGAGTATTCCAAATCTCATGTGGACTGTGTTTCTGGTGATTTACTCCGTGATACTCACAGACTGAAACCTAGAACCCATTAAGGAATACCCTTATAAAAATCCCGTGGGAGGAACACTGCCAAGACCTCTTACACATATACAGAGATGTAATATTCACAACATATTGTAGACAGTGTTATCAAGGGAAGTGGGTGTTGACATAGTAGGATACAGAGAACAAAACTTTGGTCCCTTTGGGAGTTTTGTCCTTTCTTTAAGAAGAATCAGGTTTCCTATGGTGTGGCAAATGTGTTTACATGTTTCTTTTGTATTATGAATTTAGAGCATATTATTTACAAGAGTTATTCATATATATTGTACATCGCATGCTCACAGGCATTGTGTGTTTGGCATTGGGTATTAGTATTGCAGCACTTCCCAACTATGCATAATCAGTTCTGCAAATGATCTGGGTTTTCACTGGTAAGCTGAAAACTTCAGCGTGTAAGTCTGTGCTTAAAAGTCTAAATAAAAGGTCTGATTTTCCTGAGGGGTTTACATCCTGCCAAACATTGCTAAATTTTAATACTTGTATTTTCATTTAACTGTAGTTCACTTGAAACACACTTTTATTTTCCTTCCAATAACGGTGTTTCTCTGTTTGCTCAAGAGATGTTAAGGATATCCAGCATAATTATTTTTGTGACCTTCTAACTTAATGTTGTTTTATATTAGAATTTGATGTAAGTTGTGCTCATGGGATATTGTTCCACATGATACATAATTTGTTGCCATTCTTATTTTTTACACGCAGAAATCAGCATTCCTATTCAGACACTGCACACACATTTTGGCCAAGAGGAATTACAGACAAGAACAGTCAGGCAGGGCAAATATCTGATATGTGGTAAACATCTTATGTCAAATAAAGAAATAAAGTATTATTTAGGACAGATGTGGAAAGGAGATAAGGTTTTTGTTTGTATACAGTGTATGTACAGTTGAAGATTTCTTGTTTAATTGCAGACTTACAAGTGCTAATGCATTCCACTTAATAATATCTGTGTTCTTTATTCCTGGAAATAATTGATTTAAAGAAAGATCAGAGAGAGAGCAAAAGCAGTTAGACTTGCAGAAGCCTTCAGTTCCTGCTATACCTCCGAAGAAACCTCGGCCACCCAAAGCAAACTCTGTGAATAGACCTGGTACCTTGCCCCCAAGACGACCAGAAAGACCAGCTGTGCCTGTGACTCATACAAGGTACTATTCTTCCTCTGTCCACTGATTTTGGGTTTAGTGAAAAAAACACAGAAGCATAGAATTTACATACATTTAAAGAATTTAGCTTTTACAGTTAATGCCACAATTTATTTTATGGTAAACTGTATTTAAAGAACAAAGAAAAAGAAAAGCCATCTAGTCATCTGGCTGATTCATAATTATCTTCTCAAAAATAATAGTCTTAGATTGTTCATTGCTGATTCATTTCTATTGAAGAAAACACTGTTACTGTAACATCATAGTTTCCACTGCAGAATATGTGGGAAATACCTGCATCAGTAAGTTAAACTGGTGTTGAATTTCTTAGTTTACCTCAAATTATTTCAGCTTAGTATTGGCACTAAGTCAGTGCAAAAGCTTGGATTGTACTGAGGAACAGCATCAGACAGTGCATATTTCAAATACTGTCAGTTTGGTTTCAGTCTTTTTTCTTTCATCATTTTAGATCAATTTTGAGACAAATACATGTGTCTTCATACAATGTTCTTTAAGCTGGTGCCACTGCAGAATGCTGCTGTCAAATATGTATGTTCTAATGTTGGTTGTTATTCTATAGTTACATGATGCTCTTTATCAAAGGTGGTTGCAGCCTTTGAGGAGCACTGAGAAGTTGGTCTTGCCAACATAATTCCATTTAATTTCTGTAGAGCTTGGAAAAGCAGAGGCTGCAGAAATTAAAGGCCTTGCCTGTAGTCCTAGTGAAGTCTAGATGGCTGCATTAGTCATTAGCATCTGGGTTTTGCACTCTAGACTTCCTTTATGCATAGTAAATAGAAATAGGTGAAAAGCAGAAAAAAGCAGTTGCCTAAAATGGGAAAGCTTCACATCTTGCGGAACTACTAGAATACAGGCACAGAAATAATTTTACTATTAGAAAAAATAACTACCATTGAACTACTGGAGTTCAAGTATACTGACAGTGAATTAAATACCAATATGGAGTATTTGGGTAGAGTGGAATAAAATCCTAGTCATTGGTTCCCATCATTCCTCCACATATAATACATCAAACAAATGCTCTGAGAGTGGAATCTGAGACATATAAAATTAAAAAATGGGGACTGCCTGATGCTGCCAGTTTCATCTTACTGAAGTGCTTTGACTGTGCCGGCAAAGTGTGTTGACTTCTCTGAGAGAACTTCTTACCCTTCCTTCCTAGGTGCTACTGTCACAGTTTCTTTTGGACTTTTTGGCTTTGAACATGCTTGCCTAGTTATTCCAAAATATAGTCCACACCTGCTGGTCACTTGGGCATGCCTGGAAAAGCAAGTATTTGCTGTGATCTTTAGATGTAGCTAAGTAATGTCTTCTTGGCAAGACCAATACGTATCCTAGCGTTCAGTTCACTGGCTGGGCGCACAACAGGCTGGGCATACAACGGGGTAGCTATTCTTTTCTCCTGTCCTTTGCCTGGAGTATTTTAAACACATTGTAAATATTTTAAACATTTAGAGCTATGGAGGGGTGTTTTATTGCCCTTCTCATTTCCTTTTTTCTAAGTTCGAAGTTAACAAAGTGAAAAAGCAGATCTAAACAGTAACCCTGTTGTGTTCTTTAATTGTTCAAACTCCTCTGTGTCTAGCACAGGGGAAAAAAAAATGTTTTTTGCTTTTTATCTAATACTGTTTTATTTGAAAAGGATTTTATTTGTAACAGTAGTGTCGTGGTTTAAACCTAACCAGACAGCTCGTTAAATCAAAATTTAGAAGGGAAGGTGATTTTTAGGGTGGTGATGATGCATGCTGATGATCTGAGTGCTAGTAGTTTCCTAATGAATTTCTTCAGCAGCTAATTCAAATTAATGGATTTACCTCATATAGCTCTTTTGCCTGGTAAGCTCTAACTTGTAAGGGTGTCTTGTAGGAAGAGAGCAGGAAATGCACATAATTAAATAATCCATGGAATAGACTTCAAATTACTTGAATAATTAAGAAATGTGAAACTTCAAATGGAAGCAGTCACTTCAGTAAGTGCATTTTACTTTTAAAAAGTTCAGTTTTATAAGATAGTGAAGATTTTTAAGACCTGCTGGTATGCATTTCCAGACTATGAAAAACCTAAGGCAATTACAATAAAAATTGAAACAGCAGAATTTTTGCTCACCTGTCATGTTTTAACCCCAGCTGGCAGCTTAGCTCCACACAGCTGCTCACTCATTCCCTGACAGTGGGATAGGGGTGAGAATCAGAAGGGCAGAAATGAGAAAAATCATGGGTTGAGATAAAGACAGTTCAACAAGTAAAGCGAAAGCTGTGCATGCAAGCAAAGCAAAACAGACTTCTTTCAGCGTGTCCCATCGGCAGGCAAGTGTTCAGCCATCCCCAGGAAAGCAGGGCTCCATCATAGTAACGGTGATTTGGGAAGACAAATACCATAACTTTGAATGTCCTTCTCATCCTCCTTCTTCCCCCACCTTTTATTGCTGAGCACAGTGTCATACAATATGGGATATCCCTTCAGTCAGCTGGGGTCAGCTGTCCTGGCTGTGTCACCTCCAGCTTCTTGTGCCCCCCCACCTTCTCACTGGCAGGGCAGTGTGAGAAACAGAGAATGCCTTGACACTGTGTAAGCCAAGCTCAGCAATAAAAAAAAACACCTCCCCATGTTATCAACACTTACTTCATCTCAAATCCAAAACAGCATTGTGCAGGCTGCTAGAAAGAAAATTAACTCTATCTCAGCCAAAACCAGTACATGATCCTAGGGGGAAAAGTTGCTGTAGTTATAAAGTGAGTTCTGTGAGATTTCCATGGCAGCTGCTGAGCAGAAGAGAGTTTTTATTTTTCTGTTCTGGGTAAGTGGCTTGCATCTTATATATCTCACTGATTTTTTGTGGTGACGACTGCTATTCCGTTTAAATGTAATCATTCTTCCTTGGAGGCAGGTTAGGGCTTCAAGGGCAAAAGGAAAGACAAAATCCATGTGAGACAGAGAATAGGTGTCCATTTCCTCCAAAGGCGTCAAAACTTATTTAACCTGTGATTATACAACTTACGGATGAGTCAACTCTCTGGAGCAGGCAAGCCATAAGGACGTACAGAAAGTACATTTTTACAGTCAGTCTAAACCAATTTGCCTCCATGCTGCTGCTAACCGTGGCAGGTTCCATCTCCTGGCAGCCTGTTCCTGTAGCCTCCCTTATGTTAGCACCAGCATTTGTGCAGCCGTTCAGCCATATGGGTCAGGGAGTTGCTCCAGATGGCAATTAATCAGTTTGCAGTGGGATTTCTATTAGTGTGAGGTTTCTTTCAAGCTGATCATAGAATAATAGAATCATAGAATAGTTAGGGTTGGTAAGGACCTTAAGATCATCTAGTTCCAACCCCCCTGCAATGCGCAGGGACACCTCATACTAAACCATGTCACCCAAGGCTTTGTTCAACCCGCCCTTGAATGCCGCCACGCATGGAGCATTCACACCTTCCTTGGGCAACCCATTCCAGTGCCTCACCACCCTTACAGTAAAGAACTTCTTCTTTATATCCAATCTAAACTTCCCCTGTTTAAGTTTTAACCCGTTACCCCTTGTCCTATCAGTACAGTCCCTAATGAAAAGTCCCTCCCCCGCATCCTTATAGCCCCCCTTCAGATACTGGAAGGCTGCTATGAGGTCTCCACGCAGCCTTCTCTTCTTCAGGCTGAACAGCCCCAACTTCCTCAGCCTGTCTTCATACAGGAGGTGCTCCAGTCCTCTGATCATCCTTGTGGCCCTCCTCTGGACTTGTTCCAACAGTTCCATGTCCTTCTTATGTTGAGGACACCAGAACTGTACACAGTACTCCAGGTGAGGTCTCACAAGAGCAGAGTAGAGGGGCAGTTTGCTGGGAAATGTATGCGTGCAGAACAAAGTAGTCAAATGTTCATTGCCAGTCAGCCAAGAAGCTAAGTTGCTTCTTAGAGATTTGCAAACACATAAGTGATTTTTAAAAATAAAAAGGCCAAAAAATAAGAAAACTAATTGTCAGGTGGATCACTTGGAGAATATCCTTATCATCTCACCAATTAATAAATGTTTCTAGGAATGTGTTATATTTCTACTTTTTCCTTCCTGGTGCAGACTGCTTGCCATATTGACAGCTGTGTAGCACTCTTCTTTTTTTTTTTTTCAGGTCATAAACTGCTTGCTTATCTTTTTTATTTCACAGAACATATATTGCCCTACCACAGTGTCTGACAGGATATATGTTCACTTAAATTTTTAATACAAATGTTCAGACTTCCTGAATTCTGAAATAGGGTTTCCAGCAACTTTGTACTTTGCTCATAAATGGCTGCCATGAGTTGAGGTTCAGGCCATCTGTCATCAGCTTATGGCATCAAAAGCAAAGACAAATGAAAAAGTCAACAAGATTCAGGAACTCACTATGTATTTTACTTTTGATGGCTACTTATTGCTCTTCATAGAAATGTACCTCTGCCTGGGTTGTTTCAGGGACAGATCTATATTTTTACCTATAATTTAGGTACCTTACATACATCATAATTGTTACATTGCTATGCTGGGAATAGTCATTGTGGAAAAACTATGATATGTGTTAGGTGACCTGATAATGATTATGTACAATTGATTGCGTTAATTGGACAGTTGTTATAACAGTAAATGTCACAGGGATTTGTCTGTGTGGCTTGTGCAGTGCCAAACTACTCACCTGCTACTTGCCCATTTTAAATTAAATGTTTCAGTAGTTGCATTATTCTAGTAAACTTAAATAGTTGTGTGATAGAAAGTTCTATGAAGAAACAGTAATCACGTTGCATGTGTTTGATCTCCTGTTTGATTTAAAAATAGTTCCTCTGCATAAAGTATCACCAATCTTTACACTTGCCCATTCTGAAGACATTTCAGAGTAGATGATCTTGGTTCTTTAGACCTGTGGAAAAATATTAATAGTCTAATCTCATGAGCAACATGCAAAAATGTGTTGAGTAGCTGCATTTATGAGTTAATACCAGGAAGCATTGAAATTCAAAGTGCTAGCTTGAGATTCTCTCTCTTTCTGCACGAGATAGTCCATTGCTGTAGTTTATGCAAGGCAATTAATTAGAAAAAAATTTAAACAATGTATTGAAGAATGTCCCTTTGCCCTTAGATTTCCTTCACGCTGAGATGCTGTGAACATCTGAAGAATTATTCAGGACACTACAGTGTCTAAAATAGGCTATTTTGACAGGTGTTAAGGAGAAATGAGATAAGGTTAATCTACAGCATGTCTACTTACTGGAGATTATCTGACACATTGCTATTACTCTGGTGCTACAAAGGAAAGAATATTTCACTCTCTCATTAGTAATTGCAAGTTAGCTATTAATTTACTGTAACATGAAAACTCCAGTAAAATATCTGTTCTTCTTGATCCAAATGCAGGAGTGATAGTCCAAAAGTGGAATTAGTGGGCAGTACAGTATCCGGCACTCTAGAGAAAGACTCCTCTGAAAGAAGCAATGACATCGGTAAGTTATAGTGCTTTTTAAAGTTTACCTAAGAAGTTTATGGTGCAAATTTATGCTTTTTAGTGACTTTGTTATGATTTGAAGGGTAGATTGAGGGTTTGGCAATGTATGTGAGTGCATTTATATCATGTTTTAATTGCAAAATTAAAGGATCATTTGTGCTTTAAAAGTTTTATCAGGGTTTTGTGTTATTAAATAAAAAAATAAAAAGGAAATATGGAATGGTGAGCTATTTTGAATAGGAGGGCTTTTGTTATTTCTGTTAAAAGTCTGAAAAAAGTGAGAAGGCCAACAATAATAAGTCATACTTGTTTAACAGCTGTAATATTAGTGCTGCCCTGCTTTTAATGCTACAAAAGATTGTGGGGTTGGTGCAGTTAGTAACCTTTACCTTTTCTAATACATAAGAACAGAGACCCAGTTCAGGCCAATTTGGATAAATTTTACTGCAAACACCAATTTAAAACAGTCTAAATTTCTCTTGAAAATAATAATCTATGTTTCTGCAACACAAACAGTTTAGTCAGGAAATCACCTGGACAGGAGTCACAAGAGGTTATTTCTCTGTCTTCTCTCATCCTCCTTCCTTCTCAAGTTGGCAGTGCAGGAGAGATGTTTGCTGGGGTCGGTGCCACAGTAAATGACACTTGGAAAGCAAGGTGCTCTGACTCTTGCCCCAGGGCTGTAAGCAAAAGCTGGGACAGCCATCTTCTACCTCTACTTAGAAATATGTCGGCAGCAGCTGCTGCCGTCACTCTCCTTCTGCAGTCACAGCTGTGCCATGAGACCTGTTTTTGTAAAAGGCAGAGCAAGGGTACCCTGAACGTGTAAGCATTGCTACCTTTCACTGGTACCCTTAAATGTTGTTTCAGTGTGGCTGGTTTCTACCCAGACTGCTTTATTAGTAAAACCTCTCTGTAAAATAGTATACATTCAACAGCCAAACCTGACTTTTCTTTGGGCTTGAAAGCAGAGCTATAGTTATAGACAGAGTGTAATTGCAGTGAAATCAATTGCTGAATTAATTTCACATAGGTTTATAAGCTTTCCACCATCCGTATGTCTGCTTTTTCTTTTTGACCTTCTGCTGTTGATATGGTTTATGATAGTAACATTCTTCTGGAGAAGCAAGTAGTATGTTTTTCCCAGATTTTCATTTGGGTAAACATGGAAAACTAGAAGCTTGTGATAAATTGCATGCATATTTTCATTGTAGACATTCCTATAAAAGAATGGTGTGGAAATACAGTCAAATTCTACTATTTAGTGTTTGTTACCCATGTTTACAAATTTGCTTTGAAGCATGTAAGCCTTTGCTTATTTGAAAGAGAAAGCTATAGCTGCAGACAGGATATAGTGGTGTGATGGAAGTAAACTTTTTTAATTCGTGTTCTAATTTCATAGAATCATTAAATCATTTCCTTGGAGTCCTTTTCATGATAAAATCTTACAGTATTTTGTGGTGTTGGGGGTTTTTTGGTTTGGGTTTGGGTTTTTGGGGTTGTTTTTTTTTTCCTCTCCTGTATTTTTCTGACAATTTATAAAAGGTTTGGTAGGAAATTTGATTTGTAATAGGTTTTGTTAATCTCCAGAATTTAGGGGGTGTGGATTGTTTTGGGTTTTTTTTAATGGAGAGTAGGAGCCAACAAGACTCCATAAACCAAACCACAGACACAACATGTTGCAAAGGGTTTGGCTGGTGACCTCCTTTTACCACTAACAAGGGGAACCTGTTGAGCCCAAGGCTGAAATAGTGTGAACACTTAAATAAGTATAACTTGATAGGGTCAAACCAGAATGGCATTTACAAGGGCAAATCATGTTGTTCTAGCCTGTTGGACAACTCATTAAAAGAAAAAAAGAAATAAATCATGATTTTGGAATGAAAGTGAGCACAAAGATCATAAATGATATAAATTTTCAGAAAGCTTTTGATGGTTCATGTAAAATATTGTTAAAGAAATAAACAGCCTTTTAAAAGAGGGTAGAGCAATAAACGAGAACTTAATAAGCCAGAGCAATTCACAGTGGATTAATGTCTTTTACTATGAGAGAAGGTTTGGAGTTCAGGACAGTTTATGGGGCAGAGTAATTGGAAAGAGTTATGATAAATGTGTTAGATTTATGATTTATTTACAAAGAGAACAATGGGTTGGAGAAATCATGTGGCTAAAATGAGTTATTAGTAAAAATCATAAATGAGTGAGTTGTCCAGTGTATTCCAAAATACTGATGCCTCAGGCAGTGAGTCCATATAATACTTAACTATGATATATGTTACTGGTGTTGCCCAGTGTTGTGTACTTTTGGTAGGACAGGCTCAGCTTCTCTGAGATTCATCCTTCTTGTAAAAAATGGATCTGATTAAATCTATCATTTGATGTCTTTTCATCAATCCAAATTTACACAAGGAATTAGAGTGGGCCTCTGTGACAGACAAGGTGGAGCTTAGCAGTAGCCTTTGAAGAAAATCAAAGTTAAATAGCCTTTGCAGCAGCTCAGGTGTACAACCATTCCGGTTACTGGGATCCTCTTTATTTCGCCATTAGCTCCAGTGCCATTCCTGGGCTTTTAGAGCTCTTGGGGGGACAGAGGAAAAAGCAGCAATTAGCTGCAAGTTGCCTTGCCCTCTTCCATGCTTATGCCTATTACTGGTGGTGAATCATGGACTGAAAATGAACACTACAGAACTCTCCTGCCTTTTGTGCACTGGTGATGTTAAGCTGGATAATGGTTGTCACTTTCTTAGCTCCCTAGCTAGTCTAAAGCTCTTGTTCTTTCGCTCAAAGCAGAGGCGTACAAAAGCACTGCATAGAGTTTTGGTTATAAAAGCAAACCATACAATAGTTGGATGGAGACTACTTTGCCATCCCATAAAACCATTTTTAAGGATTTCTAAGTTGGTTCTTTTTCTTTTATCATGGTGAGACCAAAACTTTTTTGGTAAGGGAGGAAAAGGTAGAGGGTCCTTCCATATGCAATCTCCCTGGAAATAAACAAGTGATCAGCAACAACAAAATCAGTAATTCCATCGATGATTGAGAAGCAATATGCAGAGGTGAATTGGGGAATTCAGGTTCAAAACTTGTGTTCTGTCTAGGTCTCCAGTTCTAGATCAGTGTATTAAACATTGCATGTTTCAGAAATGGCATTTTTCTATTTCTTTTCTAAGTAATATTACAGCAGTGAATCAGTGTTGTCTAAATAGAAAACCCCACACCTTTAAAAACACCTTTAAAAATGTTCTAACCCAGCTTTACCAATCAGGAAAGTCACAAATGCTGAGGTGATGTGTGATACTGTACATAGCATTCTGTCAGTTGCATATATGAAAAGTTATTTTTATGTAGATGTTAGCACATGACTTGATTTCACTAGCATGTTCTGCAGAGTTGTGACTTGACATTTAAATTTCTTGATGATAATACAGAGCTGATTACGATTTTGCAATCTGTTCTGACAAGAGCAATTCCTGTTCAGCAACATCTCTGCTGATTATAGATATAATGGCAGCTGTTACCACTGTTGCTCATGCCTTTGCTTCTTTCCACAATCCTTACAAAAAACATTGAAAAACTAGCCTTCAGAATATATTAAGAGGAACCATTCCCTATTCCTCCTCACTTCTTTTTTTTTTTCCCTGTTTTCAGTGATGCCTTTACTTTTCTTTCCACACATCTTTCATCCAACTTTTCCTATTTACAACTCTTTGCCATGGGTAACTCTTCTTCATTTCATGAGGGTAAGGCACTTTTTTTCTCCATTTCTTTTCTGTCCTGTCTTTGCTTTAGTTGACAATATCTAGCAAGCAAATACAAGAAGAAGTATTTTGTAGAACACCTATTATATACATGGCTATTATAGCTTTTTTTTTAATTAAAAGTTGAACCTGAGTGTACTGTGACAGAAAATCACCGTAGCATTGAAATTAGAAATCATTATAATTTATTATTGTACCATAAGAAATTTTAGCAGTGGACATGACATCCACACAGTTTGTCAATGCTGTGGTTTCATTAACCTATTCTTACAGACAGATGGTGTCATTGCAAAGTTTAGTGCATATATTTCATTATGATGTCCTTACATGTTACAAAGCAAAAAAACATTCAGTGACATGCTAGGGTGGTTCTCTAGTCTGAAAGAGATAAAACAAAACAAAACATAGAAATCTGAAGAGCACTCACTGGCTTTCAGTGGAAAGTGCATGGTTGTGTCACCCAAGACTTTATCTGCACTATTGCTATGGTTAAATCCCAGTTGTTGCACCCGTTGTTATATCTCATGTACCAGTGACTGCTCTGGACTGACAGGGGCTTTTGAGCTTAGTTTAAAAGGCTTCTATAGCAACATAAGCTACACTGAAGCCCCGTTCTACCAACAGAATAGTACTCCTTATGTAGGATTACATTGATTTCAACATCTTAAATTCATGCCTTATTGCCTAACTTGATTTTTTTTTTTAATTTCACAACATATTGTTACATCTGAGGGCCAGGGTAATGACAGAAACATCTAGCACATATAATAGCTTACTAGATCAAAAACTAATCCTTCCAAAAAATTACTGAATTATGCCAATTAATTTTTGGTATTATTTCTGCAAGTGAGGATTTTAACTATATATATACATGCACACTTTGGAATCCAGTGGTGAAACAAGTCTTGTCTTTCTGAAATAGGCTTGCTTTGGAATCATCTAACACTTAAAATCATATGGATATAGCTGAGTGATTTGAAGAATAAGCCACAAAGAAATAAAAATAGAAAATCTGCTGTGGTAATGCTCAGTTAATCCACAGGAGAAGCAGTTTCAGTGCTTTGCAAAAAGACTGAGCTGCACAGGCGCTTCCCACACAGAGCCAAGCAGACACATCTTTTCCATAATTTTCCTGCCTCTTTACACATTTTGCATAGTATTTATGAAAGCAGTTAATAATCTTTATCAGTGCTAACATAAGGCACATATGCCTTCATTGATTCCTGCTTAAACATATAGT